AAAATCAAAGAAATAGAAACTAGTTTTAAAATAATATAACTTAGAAATATAACCGATTTAATGCCAAGTTTTGTGTCTCTAGAATGCACTACTGCAGCATTTTAAGAGAGCTATCCTCCAGGCAGGTATCTGGACATCGAGTTACATAAGCAACCAGGATATTCCTTCTCCTGATCAATTTGGCTGGCACAAAATTGACGACGTGTGGACGCCTGTTTGGATGACCATTCCAGAGGTGTCTAAGGCTTGCCAGGAATTACTCAAGTGTGCATGCAAGCAGCCGTGTACCAGATGTAAATGTGTGAAGGCTGGCCTAGATTGCACTCCTCTTTGCAAGTGTCAATGCAATGCGAGTAATAGAATTTTGGCGTTTGTATAAGGAATATCTATTTGCGATTCCCTTGAATCGAAGATACATGTCATACAAGGAAGTATTTAATTGCATAAACTATAGGTATGAAAGTTTAAAAGTATCGAAAATGGRGAAATATGTAAAAATCGCCATACGTTTAGAAGAAAATTGGTATTTTTTGTCTGTTATCTTGGATGACCGAGTTGAGGACTGGGTACGAGCTTGACAAGTATTTATTTAAAAACTCGCTATTATTTCGATGTTTGAAATATATTTATTAACGGAAATGATAAAAGCAAACAGTTCTAGCTATTTTGAATCACAAATGTGAATTTTAAAAAGAACATCGGCTAAAAAACCAAAATTATAAAATATTGACCAGAGGGAGCCCATGACTTACATTTTTCATAAAATTAAAGTCCAATTAATATGGRATCCTGAAGAGATTGAAATGGGCACCGGTCCTAATATTGATTACCATACTCTAATCTACATTTATGCCAATTTTGGTGCTTTTGTCCGCTGTGTATAGATCTGACGAAAATTTCGCACTTAGCCACCTGACTATAATAGTAATAATAATAATAATCGTCATCATTATCATCACCGTAATCTTCATCATCATAATGTAATTGTCATCATCATCATATTCATAATACGGAAGTAAATCAAAAAATTTCTTCTTCATCTTCATTTCTCCCCTCTCCCCATTATGACTTCTCCCGGATATAGGACCATCAATAATCCAAAACAAATTTTGATCTGGTTAGGGGAGTTCGACTGCGGAACAAAAACAAAACACAAAACGAACATACTGCAAACACAAGCATGACATTGCATGTGAAAGGTGCGACGGTTCTCTTGAAACCGTTCTAAAAGAAATGGAATCTCAGATCCATGTCATCAAGATGACGAGTAAACAAAACAGACTAAAGTTCGATTTCAAACAGTGTGAAACAAATGAAGATATAGAAATATAAATAGGTATAGTGCTTGGGAACGAGGTTATTTCCGACATCGCTGGGAATCGAATTATTAACAGATATCCCTCAAGAGAATATAAAGTAAGAGAGCTCATCCCTGTGCCCCATGAAAGTTTTTTGAAAATATATTTTTAGCTCCGAGCGCAAGCCTGAGCTATTTTAGCATGCGATTCCTGATTGGGCAGACTGTAGTTACGTCATTGACACACAAAAGAGCGGCAGTGACAAGCAAGCTTCATGTAGTTGACAAACAAAACTTTATTCAATTTTACGACAAAATGTGTTAATAGAGGAATTCCTCGAGAAATTCTGAAAGGGTTTTTGAAGGAATCCAGAAACAGGACATGTAAAAAATACTCAGCTAAGACAAAATCATTCAAGCTTGTCTTTAAATCAAAACAATGGAAGCTCCATTGAGACTCATTTTTTGGAGTTGATTGCAGTTATATATGAGACTGTATGTTGTCCAGATTTCTCCAGCTGAACTGAAATACTGATTCGTGTGTGAAACAAAATACTCGTCTTATTCATCATCTTCTTAATGTACTATCGAAAACGCTACGATAAATTCTTTTTTCGCTGTCTTCACTGTAGGTTCTTTGCTAAAATTTTCAGCTCAATTTTTATAGCTGTTTTCTTCCCGGGCATTTTCGCTGTTTAGCTAATTCGTAAAATGAAAACCATACTGATTTGATCTTTTTAGATGTTCTTTTACATCAATTGTTAAATTTAATAATGTTTATTTCGTCTATGAAGTTTTCTCGTCGGAAACTAAACATTTTTCGCTCACATGGAAGTCACTAAAACTCTGAACCAAGCATCAGTAATCGCATGCTAAAAATAGCTCAGGATTGCGCGCGTAGCTAAAAATAGATGTTCCAATGTTTCATGGTTACAGACTCATTATGGGAGATTTGATTTGTTACTTAATATTCTCTTGCTATCCAGGCATGGAAGGCGCATTTATTGCGCGCTGTCGTACAGAAGGAAGCGAAGCAAGATGCTCTAAGTAAGCTTGACAACGAGACTTGCTTGATCGCAGTTGACTGGGCAAAGAAGTTTCTATCACTCAAATACCGAGAAAACATGAGCCATATTTTTTGAAAGCGTGGACGAAGCTGGAATGTTAGTGCAGTAGTCACTAAGCAAGGTGAAAACTACGAAGTTGAAGGTTACGTCCATATTTTTAATCCATGCACTCAAAACAACCATGCAGTTGCCTCTATTTACGAGCACCTCATCCCCACCGTAAGAGCAGAGTACCCTATGATTACAAGGCATATTTACGATCAGACAATGCAGCATGCTACCACAACGGCCCGCTGCTGATTTGTCTCTCTGAAATTGGCTAACAAACTGTCGTCACACCTAATCGCTATGACYTTTCTGACCCTCAAGCTGACAAAGACATTWGCGATAGGAAAACTGCTGCAATGAAAGCCCACATCAGACGGTTCGTGAATGACAACAACGACGTCTTGAGTGCAGAAGACATGAAGAAAGGTCTGGAGTCTCATGGAGGAGAAGACCTTCATGAAGCTAATGAAATTTCAGACATAACTTTGCGCTACAACTTTAAATATGAGCCCTGTGGAATACGAGTTTGGAAAGGCTACGACATTGGGAAAGGTAAAGTGCTAACCTACGAAGACCTGCAAACAGATCGACAAGACATTGAAAGTTTGAAAGAGATTCAACCATATGGACCTCGTCATAGAGAACTAGGCGTTATTAGCACTACAGCATCGACGCAATCAGAAATCTTGTCATACAGTGAGAGTACCCGTATCTTGATTTTTCAATCTGAGCACTAGCCACAATCACACATGGATACAGGCAGGGATGTCAGAGAGTTGGAATCTGTTTCTCTTTATCTGTTTCTCCATTAGAAAGACGTGAGTGGAAAGAGTGACGGGAATTAGCAATGTTGTTAGAAATTCGAAATTCATACGAGTAGTGTATTTCCCAGCCAACACTCATGTCTATATAATAAATTTAAAAAATTTACGATGGTTTAGCGTGGTATGTCCTCTTATTTACCACGATATGACGTCAAAAGTTGGTCAAAATGTTATGGATTCACGAGGCGTAAACCGAGTGGGTCCATAACTAATTTTGACCAACTTTTGGCGTCATATCGTGGTAAAAAAGAGGACATACCACGCTAAACCATCGTAAATTTGTTTTTTTACTACAAAACTCACAAAACTCTAGGAAATAGACGGCGCGAAATCGAGAGGAAGAGAAAAAAACAAGGAAATTAATGCCAGAAACCACTCCATTCAAACTCTAAAATAAAAATAAAATAAAACGGTTTTTCTTGCTCAAGCTGAAAAAAAAGTTTGACTTTATTTGATGGTAATTTTTTACAAACATTTTTGTGAACAAACTTTTTGATTGGTTTACAAGTGACAAATTGGCTTTTCAAAAGCACGAGGTGATGAAAACTAGCGAAAGATTGTTAGAAATACATTTCAAGAAGAATGAAATCATATTCAATTAAGAGTTTGTTGAACTTAAAAGTTTCACTTGTGATAACTCTTTGGTGGAACAACAAAGATTTGGGCTTGCGAAATATTGCAAGATTGGAAAGCGCCGTTCGGATAAGCAACGGACGAGAATGAAGAACTGTACTGGCGCTTGTTTTGGTAGCCGGACGATTCCATTTCACACCCAACAGCACTGGAAATAATCTCAGAAAATCGCTTTATTTGGCTTGTGGATGGTCTGGAATTGTAGCTTACCAGACTCTGCTCACTCTTATGGCCAGAAATGGCCATGATATGCCTTGAAGGAACTCCTGAGTTTGACAGCGTTGTGATCGATGTGCTTCGTACGCTATGGTTGGTGTAGACCTTTGACAAATTGGCACCAATGGAGATATTTTTCATCATTTTTGCCAGACTGTTGACACCAAGTGGCTTGTTTTCGTACCATACTGGGTCTGCGGCATTTATGAGTTGCTTAGGCTTTTGGAAAAAGGCTTCTTGCAGAAGGTTTAGCTTTGAAATGTAGAGCTTGAGACACCAGTATGCATCTCCCTCGGTGTTGGTGCTGTAGAGCCTTGTTAGTACTTCGTTTGTGTCTCCATAACCTCCTTGGTGGTTTCTGGTGGCTTCTTGGTGAGACATGAGTGCATAGTCACAGCCCACGGCATCTTTCTGAAAGATGAAACTGCTTTTGCTCACATCCACGCCGGCACCAAAACAAGGTCACATAAAACCATACTATACGCAGCAATCCATCGGGAGTAGTTGGACTCATGAAAGGACTTTCTTTAATCTTGTCAATATCTGCTGCTTCGACTACTGGTTTGTGCTGGACTTTTTCTTTGTTTTCACGCCTTAGAGACTTCAGTTTGGATTCAAGCATCTTGTTGCTTTTGTGAAAACTCGGGTTTTTGGTGATTGATACGTATCGACCTTCCGATGCAAGATGCCTTTCCATGGCATTTCTAAAGCCAAGCAGTGTGGAGCGGCTATATCCTTGGCCAGCTTTCGATCTAGCTTCGGCATAAAACCGGTAGAGATGGCCATCTAACTCTTCATCTGTCATCTCTGCTGTGTTTTTCGAGATGCCTTTTTCGTCGCACCAATCTGTTTGAAAAGAAAGCAGATTTTCCTAGCGTCAATTTTGATAATCAAGGTAAGCTAAATATATATAGTTTTTGTTATTTTTCTTAGACTAATATGTTCAAAACTGGATTCCAAAAGTTTTTCTAATCGATAAAATACATGATATTTACCTCCAAAAGCTTTTAAAGACCACCTTGTTTGCTTTTTCGTTCCTTCTGCTTGTGCGTTGGAAACAATTTCGATGAGCTCGCTGTCTTGCAAGGCTAGGAAGCGACTTTTCGGCTGTTTTTGCAAGTCTTTTTCTGCTTCCACACAAGCAGACAGTAGTAGTCTAGAAGTTAAACCCAGAATTTTTCAAGTTGCCTGCACCCCATGGGTGGCCAAGGTTTCTTGGTATCATTTTAAAGCTTGAAGCCTGTAGATTACGAATTTGCTTGTCGCCACTTGAAAAAAGTGTCCAAACAGCTTGGCGACCTGGCCTAAAGTACATACTTTCTATTTCCCAATATTTTCGTTATTCTTCATTTTCTTGACGTTTTTCACGTTTCACACACAAATTTTCGATAAAAAC